AAGCGCTATATAAATAAAGGTGACTTGACTTGACTTGACTTTGAATGGCAGTGTAGAAGAGCACTGGCACGTTAATATCAGAAAGCAGACGATCTGACCTGTTTGATCTCTTGCACTGATCTCAGATCGAGGACGATGTATCCCACACACTCTCTCGCAGACGCGCCGGAGTCGACGGCGTAACACTGTAATTTGATGGGTGTTCTCTGGAGTCTGTGGGAGAAGCAGACGACACGGAGTGAGAGTGAAGCGCTGATTGAGGCTCGTCATGTTGAGCTGGATCAGTCGAACAGAACTCCTTCGAAACTTTTGTGAATCATTTGTTTCGAAACAGTGGTTCGGAGCACGTATCAAACTGCCAAAGTCACGTGATTTCAGTAAACGAGGCTTCATTACGTCATAACTGTTTCCAAACGTTTTGAAATGTCAATGGTTTGCCGCTGGGGGGCAGTGATCTCTGTGAACCCATGAATCATGCGAGTTCAATGAGATCGCCCCCAGCGGCAAAGCACTGAACCAGCGACGCGCTGACTTTACCGATTAGAGATTGGCTCTTTCATTCAGAAGGCGGGGCTTCCTGCGATTGAGCGGCCATATTGAGAGTTGCATTTTTCCCCATTCAAAACTATACGAGTGACACGTCTTAGGTATTCTATAGTCTTTGACCAGTGTCTATGGTTTTTACCTGATTGGATCAGTTTCATCAATGTGTAGTAGGGATGTCAATTTTGGATTATTTCCATGATCGATCGTCGTTTAAATTAACGATCAATAGGGCTATCAAAAAAAAAAATTTGAATTTCGAATATTCGACGAATTTAAAATAAAAATCCACATTTGATTTTAGGTGTGCATCAGGCTGCCTTATCAGTGGCGCACGAGATGCGATTACATTGTAAGTGTCGTTGCATTATTATGTGTTTGTTAGCCTGTCCAGTTGAAGCCACTAGATGCGGCGCTGCTGCGTTGTTCATTCAAAATATTGCGGAAAAAGAGAACATCAATGCGGAGATGTTGTTTGCATCAAAACTGAAACCAAGCTGTTCACACAGAACGCATATTTATCGCATTTTCTAGAGGGACATCTATCAGCGTTGCACTCGCGTCTCGCACAAGAGAGCCGCATGTTTAGAAAGCCATGTAAAATTAATGCAAGTTCAACTTTGAAAAAACATGTCTCGAATTTATGGCGGTTTTTCCGCATCCCACTGCATCTCATGTTTTTAAATGGAAAAAGTACTCTTTATGATTGGTTTTCGGTCCTTTGTATTAAACTATACATACATGCATGGTGCTGTTTTTTTTTCTAATTGTTTAAGCAACTTTATTAATTATATATGGTTTATAAACATTATTTTAAACATTATGCACTTTTTACAAAGATAGTCTTGTTATTTTATTGCTTTGAAGAAACGTGCATTAGTAATATTTTGCTCGATGCGCCCTCTTGTGGCCTCAGGAGAGAAGCCAAAAGCTTTTTCCCCCTAACTGAAATTATGCCTTTTAAATTTGAATATAATTCGAATATTGATCATATATAAGTACAAAATTCGAATTAAATTTTTCAGCCATTTTGACAGCCCTAACGATCGATTAATCGATTAACCGTTAACCTTAATACCGCAAAATGCATCAATTGCAGTGGCATATAGTCACCGGCATGACAGCATGTGCAAAAGCCACTCAAAAAGTTTTGCCGGTTCGTCACAAATTTAATAACATTTATTGTTTCTTTTCCCAAATCCTCACTGTCTCACCCTCTAATTTTGCAGGTTTATTCTATTGTCATTCACTTTTAATCACTGTTTTCGCATCTCTTACTGTGGTAAACATGCGGGAAGGGAAATGAAAGATTTTGTGGCCATGAATTAAGAATTCAACTTAATTTGTTCACTCATTTTAGTTAAATCATGGGTTCTCTAGAGAACAAATTAATGAAACATGGACAGTGGCCACAAATTAATAAGTCGTAGGA